CCCAGTTCTAGAGCAATTAATAAAAAATTATTGGCTGGTGGTTTACTACGTTAAAGTAGAGAAAAACTTCATAAAGTAGAAAAAAATTTCATGACTTTCTTAGAAAGAACGCACCAAGCACATCCAGAGCACTTTGATGGTTAGCGATTAAGACAAACGGTTTGTCGCTGTCCAAGTTTTGTTTATTCCTTATGATGAACTTGATTCCCAAAAAAGAGCAAAACCATTGGAATATTTTGAACATACGGCTGGAAGGAAGTAGGTTGAAAATCAAGAAAGCAGAAAAAGTGAAGTGCCGAATATTTACGGCGAAACTGACAAATGGTTGTTTGTAGTTCTTCCAAATGGAATGCTGATGATAGCTCCGATAGTTCCACCTAACACTATGCATAAGGAATAGTAGACAAGTTTCACATAAAATCGAACGCGATATGAGAATACTGCAAGGATTGCGAGAAATCCACAAATCCCAGCAGATGCCAGTGCCAATGCCGTGTAGCAGCCATAATCATCTCCCTGTTCAGATGTCATCTAAATCATTAAATAAAAACCTAATACTTTACTTCAAAAAAAGTACACTAGATCAACGACAACTAAAAGCTTGCAAAACCATTTTTTGAATAACGGTTCTTTCCGGTGTCGGCGCGCAGGGGAATCGCGACCAGAGCGCGTTTCCTTCTAAAGCAAGAAATTTTCTCATAGTCTCTGGATTTTTAAAAGCATGCATCTCAAAATGCTTTCTATTAAGTAACAAAACCAGCATACAGAAGAATGGGAATCTATGGAAATTTATCAATATCATCAGCTGCATACCATCATGCATTCTATCGGGCTGAAAACAATTGGACAAACTCATTCAAATGATTGAACTAAAGTGGCGGAAAACTATACCACTACGATTTCAGAAAGAGCTAAGAACTAAAGTGGCGGAAAACTATCACCAAACTACAATTTTAGGAAGAGAAACAAGAGGACTGATGTGGTAATCAAGCTCAAATATCACCGACAAACTTTGCACTACACGAGTCGAGCGCGTTTGCAGCGTAAATTACATAGATAAGGTTGGTATACTTTGCACGTTCTCTTCAACGATTTCGATGCGTCGAGCGCTTTGGTTTTTTTTTTTCAAACTGCAACTAGAGATAACTAAAAGGGTCTCAGCTTTTTTCTGAACTACCGGCATTCTTATTTGTTGGGAACTATGACGATGGTTTTGTATAGAGTATGCCTATTGCAGTGTTTGCCAGAGGTATACATACACCCTCATTTTGAAATGAAAAGGCGTTGAATAGAATGATACCAAACTTTTTTCTCTGCAGCAAGTCGGAAAGCGCCTCTGTTTGATCTTGCAATGTTGGTCTTTTTTGACGATAATTTCTTTATGTCAGCGTTGCATTCTACGAGCAAACAAAATATTTATCTTTTTGATTTCTTCTTACTCATCAAAACCTCTGAAGAGCTGTGCAGCATCTAATTGTAACTTGAAGGACA